CCAACCTGAATCAGGGAAATTATATCCTTGCCCCAGACGAAGATGTGGGCATCAGGGTGTTGGGAATCCTTAGTTAAGTGGGTCATGAGGATGGCCAGGGCAGGGCCATGAGTTAAGAGGCAGCACAGGCTCTCTCTGACCTCTGCAGTCCACAGGCTCACAGGCAGTGTGGCAGGCCATGATGTGGGCAGCTGAGGAGTTACGGGGAGAGCACTGAGGTAGGAGTCAGGTCATGTTCCAGCTCTGCACTTTCTGATGGGTACCTTCTAAGCCTCCACCTTCTTGTCTGTAAAATGGGTCGGCTAAGGTAGGTGATTGATAAACAATGTATCAGAAGTATCAAATAGTACCAGGAGGACTCTTTTCTCCTCAGGGTCTCCATTCCTTCTCTCCAGATCTCTTCTCTGTTCTGTTAGTCTTCTGGTGACACCTGCCACCTCACTTGGCTTGTCTGTCTCTGATGGCATTATCATCATCATCATCATCATCATCATCAATTATTATGACAGGGTCTCTCTATGAATTCCTAACTGTCCTGAAACTCACTATGTAGACCTACTGGCCTTGAACTCACAGAGATCCACTTACTGACTCCCAAGTGCTAAAATTAAAGGTGTGTGCCCAGCCAGTATTATTTTTAATATTCCCTGGAACCCCTCTCCTGGGTGTGTGGGTGTGTGTGTATGTATGTGTCTATCTGTGACAGGGCCTTGTGTACTCCAGGCTGACCTCAAATTTAGTAAGTAGTTGGAAATGATCTTAAACTTCTGATCCACCTGCTTCTACCTCTGGAGATGCTTGGATTACAGACGGGTACCACCATGCTCTATGTAGGCCATGTTGGGTGGGGATGGAACCCAAGACTTCTCGCTGCCAGTAGGCACTCTGGCAATTGAGGCCCAGTAGAGATGAAGGGAGTTTGCATGGTCTTTCACTGACATTAGGGCAGCCTGAGGGGTTTAAAGGGGTTTGTCAGGAAGTACCACCTCTAGTGATACAGGATCCCTGCCATGCATCAGGAGGATGCTCTGGATAAAGCAGGCTGCCTTGCTCAGTGCCCGTTCTGTAGTAGTAGGCAGCTGATGCTGTCCTGGGGTAGCTTTGCCAGGCCCTACACTCAGTTTCTACCCTGGTCTTTTGTCCCAATTTTTCCACTCTTCACCCCTGCCAGAGCTTAGTTTTCTCAATCTTTACTAAGAAAGTCACATGTGGTCCTACTAAGCACCTGTCACTTTATCTCCACGTAGCCGATTTCTCTCAGACCGATTTCTCTTTCTATTGGTAGAAAGCCACATGGTCTCTGAGAGAAAGTGAAGTAAGTCCACAGACAAGACCCCAGTGTTCCTGGAACATGGCTATGCTGTTACCACTTCCCGGACACAAGCCAAAGGCCCAGCAGGCAATGAGTAAGCACCTGGGTCTGTCTCTCAGAGCAACCAGCCTGATGCTTCCCCTCAAGACACTACTTCCCCAGCCTCTGGCTTAGAAGGAAGTTTGTTTCCCCCTGTTTTCAAATTTCATCCACATGGACAGGGTGAAGCTACCTGACAAAGCTGGCTCAAAATTCCCCTCAGCCACCCCAGGTCAGAATTCCCAGAGTGGGATTCCTGAGTCTGTGTGGTCTAGCAATCAGAAAAAATGGCGCCACAATCCGACCCAGTCTTCCTTTGATCCTCCAGGCTCTGTAGCTGCTTGTGTCCAAGATGGCTGCCACCAGTCTCTCTTTCCCTATAGGTTCTCACCACTTCCCCACTGAGAAGGAAGTCTGGATTTCTACTCCTTTAAATCTGGGACTGACCTGAGACAATGTTAGACAGAAAAACAGAGCAGAGGCAAGACCGTATGTTTAGAGTTGTTTTCCCAGCTTGTAATGGGGCTGGCATCCTATGCTTCCTGGCTCCTGTAGCCTGAGGTATTGTCTTCTGTAGAAACAGGTAGAGGCTGCTGGACTGCTGACAGGCCATGTTGGAGGAGTTCTCAGTCAGGTGTGTGAGTGGAGAAGTCACCTGATACACACCCCAGTGGACTATTCAGAAGGTGCCAGCCCCAGCTACGGGCCAATGGCAGCCACAGGGGAGTCCAAGTGAAAACCACTGCTGGAGCAGTGTTTCAAACAGCAGCTAACAGCTGGAACGTCCTCTGTGGTCAGCTCCCAACACAAGTGTTCTTCCCCAGTCCTCCTGGGGAGCTTAGGGGTATAGCTCAGTGGTGGGGTGCATTCAGAGAAGCGTGTGGCCCTGGACTTAACCTCCAGGGTTCTCCCTAAGCCTCCCCCAATGACCTGTCTTCCCCTTCTCTATACAAGTTTGTGTGTATACAGATCTACATGTATTTATAGATCTATATTTATCTATCTATGAAAATACATGAGGTGGCATATGTGGACTACCGGTTTAGTCTTCCCGACAATGACAGATTACATAAGCACATGCATACATATTCACTCAGCTTTGAAAGCTATGACACACATGACATGCGACATATCTATCTATACTTTCAAAGTATACAGTTTGATGGATTTTAGTATACCTGTGCAATCATCACCACAATCTATTCTAGAACATGTTTGTCTCCCCCAAAAGAAACTGTGTATCCTTCAGCTGTCGACCCCTATGTAACCACCCCCAGTATCTGCAGCTTCTGGTATCTACTACTGTACTCCAGGTCTGTACAGATTTGCCCATTCTGGACATTACATATGAACGGAGGCCATATAACACATGGACTCTTGTGTCTGGCTTCTGTCAGTGAATGTTTTTTAAACTTTAGCTGTGTTATAGCATGTGTCAATACTTCAGTCCTTTTTTGCAACCAAACCCTATTCATTGCCCTTGTGTACCTAGTATTTTGCTTGTCTGTTCATTGACAGACACTGGCTTACTTCCACTTGACTGACGCTATGGATAGCCACATTCAAGTTTCTGTATGGACACGCATTTTTATCTCTCTTGGTAGAGCTGGTCTTAAGAGCTTCCAGGTGGTTCTCCGAAGTGGCTCTGCCCCCCTCCACCTTCCCACTGGTAACATTTGAAGGTTTTGGTTTTTCCGCATCCTCAGCAACATTTTGCCACTACCTCTCTTTTTGAAGAGTCACATCCTGGTGGGTGAGTGGTATCTCACTGTGGTTTGATCTGCATCTCCCTGGTGGTTAATGGCACGGAGCATCTTTTTATGTGCACTTGGGCTGTGTCTATTATTGGAGTTATGTGACATTTCCTTTACTTATGTTCTACTTTAGCTGTCTGTATTGTATTTTCAGCTTGTAAAAGCTCTTTATGTTTTCTAGCTATAAATTTAACATGCGATCTACAGATACCTCCTCTCCCCCCGTGATAGTTAATCTTCAGAGTCGACATCACTAGACCTGCAGTCCCCTGGGAGATACACCTCTGCCAGGTCTGAGAAGGTGTTTCCAAAGAGGTCTAACTAAGGAGAGACAGAACAGACTTGTAACCTCAAACAGTGAGCCAAAATCAACCCTTCAGTCCTTAGGCTGCCTGCTGTCACCGTGGTAAAATGAAACAACTGACCTGCCCCTCGGAAGGACTCTTAGCAAACACAAAATAAACCCCGCGTGCTAGGGTTGAGAGACCTGCCTTTTTTCCATCCTCCTGGGCCGCTTTGCTCTCTGTTCTGTCCGCTGCTCTTCGGAACTTACGAGGCCTCACCTGGCCTAAAGACCTTTCCAAGTACAGGTTCCTCTGCCCAGGCACACCTCCCTCCCCCCCCCCCAGGGGCATCTGAGTGGCTCACCCTTCCCTTTAGGCTTCTACTCAGATGTCACCTTCTCAAAGAAGCCTTCGTCCATGACCATTTTATCCCAAATCCCACTTTTCTCCGTTTCATTTTCTCCCGCCCAGCTGCTTTGGTTTTCTTTGGCTGCACCCACTTGACATTGTAGCCTACACTGTGGCTCATACTATGTCCCAGCACTCAGTTCCGTGAGAGTCAGAATTGTCTGTCTCATATGCTACTATGTCCTAAATGCCTCCCCAGCAGCCTGGCGGCACTGCAGGAAGGCAATAAATATTTGTTACATTGTATCAATCAACTCCTATTCATTAAATGCTTACTATGAGTCACTCCGTGAAGCGCTTCAGGTAAAATATTTTTATTTAATCCCCACAAAGCACTGTTTGACAGATCTATACTATCATTGCTCCACTTTCCTAATCGATGGGGAAACCCAAATGGAAAGAGATTAAGTAATTAATCCACAGTTCCACTTAGGAACTGTCCCAGTCAGGATGAAACCCCGGGCAGTCCCGCCTCTAAACTGTCACACTTAGCCCTGCTTCTGACTTCAGTAGGCTCCTGCTCTCTTTGATGACTCCCTTTCTTCATGTGTGACTTAAGAGTAGCTTACAGGGTTCCTGAAAGAAGAGGGATCATGGAAAGCAAAGAGAATAATGCTTGGCACTGAGTGAGCAACCAACCAGTATGAACGCTGGCCACGATGGCCACAAGGCTGTCAATCATGGTCATGAGATGATGCTGATGCTGAGCGATCTGCACTGTGGAATCCAACAGGGCTCTATCTCTGTCAGTTAATACTGTCCAAATACATCCCTGCGTGTAGATGGAGGTGTTACAGCAGTGGGGATCAGACACTGTGGCGAGATCAGAATATCCGAATTTCACCAGAGAGAGGGTGAAGAGGTTTCTTACCATCATCAAGGGGAATGGGTGCTTAGGCAACACCACAGACTCCTAATGGCCTCAGCAAGAGCACACAAAGACACCTGGGGAAGATGGAGGCTCAGTGGCTTGTTACGGACAGAATCTTGGCCTAACTCTGAAGAGCTGTTCTCACGGGGACTGTCCTAGGTGCAACCCTTGTCTAGCCCCTATGGACAGGAATCTACACAAGACCATTCCTATGCACAAAGACCTTGGGCATGATGATACCGTTGCCGGGATGAGGATGTCACCAAATTCCCTGGACCTCCTTTGTACTAAAATACTTTTTAGTTCGGGGAATGGAGTTGGGGGACACTCACCAGTATGGGTCTGTCTGTGTGTCTCCAGAGCATCCTCCTTTGAGAACTGGGCACCACACTGATCACACACAAAGGCTTTGGCACCCGCTGAAAGAAAGAAAAGATGGTTAATGTTAGAACCATAGTTCATAGGGCCGGAAGCGTCCTGGAATTAGGAGAGTGGCTGGGATACAAGGTGCTGACTCCCAGATAATCCATAGCCCCAGTAGTTAGCCCTGATCTGCTTGGGACAGGTGACTACTCACCCAGGTCTCCCAGGAGAGAAGAAATAAAATCAGCAAGACTAAGACAAACTAAGGCAGAGTCTAGGCAAGATGCCTCATGAAGACGAAAGGCTAACTCTGCTGGGTGGATGGACAGGAGCAAAGATACCAACAAGAAGGGACATCACTGTCACCTTGTTTTTCATAGAAAAGTCCACACTACTTATATTTGTAGACAGAAGTTTCTGTCCCACCTGGTTCCACTGCCACTCAGTCACAAACAGAGGCTTATATTAATTATAAACTGTTTGACCTATTATTTGGGCTTATTACTAACTACCTCTCTTATGACTTAAATTAACCTATAATTCTTGTCTATGTTTAGCCACATGGCTTGGTGCCTTTTCTCAGTAAGGCATTCTCATCTTGCTTTCTCTACATCTGGCCAGTGACTGACTCTTTGCCTTTCCTCTTCCCAGAATTCTCCTAGTCTGGTCGCCCCGCCTGTACTTCCTGCCTGGCTACTGGTCAATCAGCATTTTACTAAGCCAGTATGAGTGCAAAATCTTTACAGTGTACAAGGGCAGTATACCACAGCATATACCTACAAACCTTCTGACTCAGTATGTGCAAAATTAACTCCTCAGTGACCTCCTAACTGCCTCTTGTATCTGGCCACTTAACACCCCTGTGAAATTTCCCAGTACTTGAAGGTTATGTCAAACCACTTCCTAGTACACTCGGCTCTTGTTGGTTTGCTGTCTCCCATGCTTCATTCTTCCGCACCTACTCCTGCAGAGTAGGCTGCCATGGCTCCCCGAAGGGGCTGCCTTCCATCCCATTACTGCCCATCCTTCTACACCTCCTCTGCCTCTCTGCATCCTTGGACCCTCAATCCCTAGTCATCACTGAGGCCTCTGCTTTGATACCCGTGTCTTCATGACTGGGCAAGGTGACTTGTCTTTCTTTGGCCACACCTTTCTGTGAGCCTGACTTCCTGACTTTTATCATCTTGTCTACTGCGCTATCTGCTAGATTCATGGTGGGAGCCTATGAAAACCTAAACTGTATCAGTATTCTTAGAGCCAGCATGAGCCGTACTTAGAAAGATCAAAGCAACACTATCACCATATCAATGTAAAACATCACACCGCTGGCTCAATAGTCTTCAGCATCTCATCGAAGGGTCATCACTCTCAAGTCTTGGTGCTTTTTCTTCAAAATGTCTTTACTATGCATCTCTCCATTGTGTAGGGGACATCCTCACCTACCCTGACCTTTGTGGTATTATGCTTGGAACACTGGAAGACTCGAGGTTGGATTTAGGTTGTCTGATCCTCCCTGGAAGGCCATATAACTCCTCATACTTCTTTATGGAAGAGACTTGTAATCTGTATCGGTTCTCAATTCCTTCATTTTACCTCTGGATCTTCCATAACCTGACCCAGCAAGCCAAACAACTCCATAGCCAGACTGTCCCTCATCACCTTCTCGAGGCATTACCTGGCTCCCCAGGTGTGTCTGTCCTAGGCTCACTCCCGTTTATTCTGTGCCATTTCATGTTCCAGACCATGCACCAAGGTCACACCCTCCAGCCCTCACTGCTCCGCCCCTTCCAACCTGCTCTGTGCCAGCCAGTGTGTCTGAGCTCTTCTATATGTGAGTCTGAGTACCTTACCGGTACCTTATAGCCGCCTAAGTGCCAGGCGATGTTTTGCACATTTGTAGCCCCTACTGCTATTTTCAATCCACCTAGGATTTCCCATAGATTGACTATGTATCAGGCGTGGTGCTAAATGCTGACTATGAATTACTTCATCAAGTCCTAACAGTAACATTTGGAGTATACACCCCTACTGCCCTCCATTGAGCAGATGGATCACCTTCAGCTCAGAGAGGTTACGGATGTGCCAGCTGTCACACAGAACAGAGGGTAGACACAGATGGGAATCTCAAGAGCCTGACTCCAGAACTCTAATCCTCCCTACTTTCAGCTTTTTTCGGGGTCCCATCTGCAAAGATGCCTTACGGATGGCTAGGCAAGCTCCCCTCTTCCTTCTGACGATTCCACAAAACCAAATCCAGTTTTCCATCTTATGTATCAGGACTTCGTGTCAGGCTGCACTTAGAAAAATCGGTCCAGGACATGATGGTGCACAGCTGTAAGCCCAGTACCCAGGAAAATGAAACAGAAGGATCACAAGTTCAAGACCGGCCTAGGCTACATAGTAGGTCCCAGGTCAGCCTGGGCTACAAAGGAAGAACTGGCCTCAAAAAAAAAAGTAAGTTTGAAAATCGGTGTCTCAAGGAATACAGATCAAAATACAAAGACTTAAACACCAAAAAAAAAAAAAAAAAAANCAAAAAAAAAAAAAAAAAAAAAAAAAAGAGTGTTTGTCAATAAAGAGTATGAGGATTGCAGAGCCTGAGGGCCCCAGCCTCACTGACACCTAGAGTCCCAATGGCGAGCAGGCTATATGAATCCTAGTGTGTGTTCAGAACAGGAGCTGGCTGAAGGAATGGGCGGGAAAGCACTCCGGGGCAGATATGCTTTTGATATGAAATTGCTTTTCCTGAAGAGACTTCAAAATAATTAGCCATCTGCCTCTGGTGACTGCGGCTGAGTTTCACCTGGAGGCAGGAGGAAGCCCACCACAACCTCTGGGTGTCCCTGGAAGCCATAGGATATCCTCAGGCCAAGCACCTGGCCCGTGGCTTACAGGGCTTTGAAAATGAAGCCAAGAAAAACTCTACGGGGATGGTGGCAAAGCGATGTCTGTGTGTTTGGAGGTGACAGCTAGGACCACTTTCATCCCTGTTCAGGAGAAGGGGTACACAGGAAACACTTCACAAAGCCGAGCAGGTCAGGATGGGGGAGGAGCTGGGCTGGATGCAGTTCCAGCTCCCTCACAATGAGCAACTTCCCCTTGGCCTGAATCATTACCCATCAATGATTTCTGGTGGATTCGCGAGGGATCTGATTCTCTTTGCTTGTATCTGTTCTCCCAGCTTCCCAAAGACGACTGGGAGGGGGTAGGCACCTCGTGGGCTCCAACACTGCTTTGGAGCCCTGTAATCACGATCGAGTTAGGACCCCAATAGGGCCATGAGCTTCAAAGGGATGTGGTGTGGGGAGGTTCTTAGAAACAGCCATCAGTGAGGCCGCTAGTAGCATCTCACTTTCATGGCAGATGAGCGGAGAAAGGGAGGAAGGAGGGAGGAAATGAAGAGCGAACAAACACCGTCACCCAGGGTTCAGCAGAAGATATAAACATAACAGCACACACCATCTACCAAAAGACTGCTTCCTTGGTCCCAGCCTGACCACATCTGGTGGCCTTCAATGTCACCTTCACTCCACACATGCTGAAGTCACGATATTAAGCTCAGTGTGTGAAAAGTCTCTCTCCCCAAAGGACTCTGGGCCAGCAGTCTCCATGCTAAACTTGGCCCCCACGACTGACTCCCATTCACGATTCCCCAGTATTCCTTCCACGACTGCCCAGAGACACTCACATCCTCAGCCTCTGCAGGGCGAGGCACTAAGAGCAGAGCAGACACCAGATGAAATCCCCCCTCCCAAGAAGGCCGTACATTAAACCGTCTCTGGAATGGCTGGCTCAGAGGCAGAAATATTTGGCAGCCCTGAAATTAAAAGTGATAAATTTCCTCGCCAAGCTTTGATCGATAATAGAGGCCTCATCTGTTAATCAATAAGACAGTCTCTGCCTGTTTACTGTGCATGTGTTGTTCACTGTTGCCTTCGGTATGTTAGGTTTGCATTCAAAGCAACGCAGATGGGGATAAACCACACAGCCATTCCTGAAATGCATGACTGTGACATCATCCAGCCCCTGAGACGTTTCAGTGGAAAGGCTGGGGGTGGAGTGTCAAAGGTGGCCATGCCACCTGAAAGAGGGTGGGTGTATATGGGCCTGGCAGCAACACTGACCCCCACAAAATGTCCTGGGGCTCTCCACAGAGCCAAAAACTAGACCTCCCGGGACACAGCTCCAAGATGATCATGACTGTCACATTCTTCCCACGTGAGGCTGTTTCGTGGGTACCCATCAATAGAGTCAGAAGGCGATGGCACTGTCCTCATGGAGCTTAAAATCGAGATGCAAACACAGTTGTATTTTTTAAAGCAAACCAAAACAAGGCAGGCAGTAGTGTATGGTAGAGAGACAAGCTGGTGAGGAGAGACAAAGGGCAGGGCTGCTGTTTTAGGTGGGGACAGAGCAGCGGCCTCAGATGAGCCGGTATCTTTGTGGAGAGAATGGAAGAGAGGAGGCAGAAAGAAACAAGACCACTGTCATGGAATATTCTCTTGGCAAAGCAGGAATAAGGAAACCAGGGTGGACAGAAACAGGGGGCAGTGGGAGGGAGCAGCAGACAAGAGCTGAAAAAGGGATCACTTGGAGAGGAGATGTTAAACAGAAGAGGGAGGGGAACAGGGGAGATGGAAAGGGAGTCTGCCCCATCCAATCCTTTCTATCAATCACAGTGAACTAAGGAGAACTGGGGCCCAGGCCTGAGTCAGACACTGGATGCTGTAGATATCACACAAGACTCAGGTCTTCTCACCTCACTGAACCTACGGCTCCCTGGCTACTCTTTACATTTTTAAATTACATTTATTTATTTATGTGGGGTGGGGCATGCTATGGCAGGAATGTGAAGTCAGTGCTCTCCTTTCACCATGGCCCAGGGATAGAACCCAAGTCCTCAGGTGTGGTGGCAAGTTCCTTTATCCAGTGTGCCATCTCGCTGGCCTCTGTGTTGTTTCTTTGAGGCAGATGCCAAATATTAATAAATCTGAAACTCTTTGTTGCTGGGAGCTCACTGATGCTATTAATGCCCCTAAAGGGGTTTGCATTGTGATTAAGGGACTGGGAACTGGGTCCAACAAAGTAGTCCGGATCTTGGCAGAGGAACCCACTAGCTACAACACTCAGGAAGCTATCTAACCACGAGCATGCCATCTTATCTGTAAAATGGAACCCAGAAGAGTAGTCCCCCAGAGAGCTAATGAGGGAGTCAAGTGCACAGCCTCCTGACTGGGTGGAGACAGAGGACCAGTAAATAGTAGCTATCCCATCAGTACCACCCAGAATTCCTTTAAAACACTGCCTCTGTGCAATTAAAGTATGATTGATTTTACTGAGATTCGATGCACTGTTATTTGAGGGCCATTTATCTTGTATAAAGTGAGTCTCACGTTTGTAAAGACATATTTCAAAGCACACACACACACACACATACACACACGCACCTCCCTCGTCCTGTTGGTTTAAAAATGAGTGATTGTTTTGTTGAGGGGAACAGAAAAATCTGCCATAGGAACAATATGTCAGCATCAACAGCAACTCCGTTACCCAGCTCTTAAATCTTCTGGGGATGAGGCCCTGGAGCCTCCTGCAATGGGCCTGCTTCCAGGTTCTGCCCTGTCTTCCCCAGCACATTGGAAGCTCTGTGAGAATAAACTGGAGTATAAAACCAGTCTGGGATGGAGAGAGTGGGCATTCGGAGCTCCGTCAAACTGTTGCCTGGGGTGTAACACTCGAGTCCTGACTCTACACCTTCTGGGTTCTCTACGGCCCCTTTGTAGAAACTATAGGACCTGCTTTCTCCCTGAGCCTCAGGAAGAAAAGACTAGAAAAGTGGGACTCCCATTTCTCTTGGGAATGGGGCAGCAAGTCCTTTCCCTTTAGTGTACTCTGAGCCACCCATCTCCGCGCAGGCTTCCCTCAGGAGGCAAGGATGGGCACTCAGTGGCTGGGGCTGGCAGTGGTTTCCTTTGCGGGACACCCTTACCTCCAGGTTTACCTGAGGGTCGAGAAGCCTGATTGTTACTGACAGATAAACAGACACCCTTACCCCTGCCAGATTCCCAGGGACCCTCACATCCCAGAGCCCAAGGAAGTTCTCAGTATCACACTGAGGTACAGAGAGTTGTCTGAAGAGAGCCACTTCCTCCAGCTGTGCGCTGACTTCCTGGTGCTCTCCGCAGGCTAGGAAGGAGGTCACATATGGATGGATGCATTATCGGGCAATGGTTTGGTGAGAACAAAAGATATAGCCTGGCTGAGGCTGGAGCTGGTCTAAGGTTTCACGAGGGGGTGGGGGGAAATCCCACCCTCACTCCCTGGCTCACAGAACTCAACCAAAACCAGCCAGAGGCACTAGCAAAGACATAAAGCTCTATCTAAATGTCAGGATTCCAAGGACAACATAGCTGAGTCCCAGTGGAAGCCATGACGCTCCCCACAGTGGCCTTCTTCTCTGGCCTAGTACAGAATCTCCTTCCTTGTCTTCTTAGGCAGAAATGGGACTGGGAGTATGAGTGGAGGGTCCTAGGCATATAGTAATTAATAAAAGATACTACACACAATCAGATGCAGAAGGATGTCTCTCTAGGGAAGCAAGGCAGAAGCCAAAAGAAAGAAAAAAAATTTCAAAGATCCCTCCCTCTTTAAAGCCTCCCCAACCTCCAAGCTAATAATAATAAAAATAAAAGAGAAACGGCTGCGGGGGGAGGGGAGGGAGCGGGGGGGGGGGCGGCGGCGGCGGGGGGGGGGGGGACGCCTAGTGCCTTGCCAGCATCTGATGTTGAGTGGTGTGTCCTTTTTTTTTTAAAATTCCTCGCAATTTTAAAATAAACATCTTGAATGTTCTGATGAGATATGCATGCCTGCTTACATAAGGAAGTACAGAGTGTACCAAAACAGCAGACCCAAAAAAAGCATAAGCTGTCAGAACAATGAGTACAGACTTGGGCATTTTACAACAGGCCACGGTGTACAGTTTTATTTACAGTGCCTCTTATCAGACGGAGAACAGCACACTGGCTGCCAGTTCCAAAGGCCAGCACTGTGTGTTCCTTCCCTCAAGGAGCTGTGTACTCCCGGAGAGAGCTGCCTGCAGCCTCGGGCCCTCTCTGGCTCTCCCTACCTCTCGTTTTCTCCTTTATCAACACAAATGAAAATAAAAACTGGGAAGGCTCAGTTTCTCTAAGGGACACCGGACAGGAAAAGGAGAACAGGTAGGCAGATGCCACCAAATGGAAGCCCAGCAGTCCCAGGGGTGGCCCCAGGAAGTAGCTCTAAGGTGTCACAGCTCTGACTGCACTGGCCTCCCTCAGGGGAGAACAGGGGGCAGAGAGGCCAGGGATGTAATATCCCAAGTCAAAGACAGGGTGCCAAAAGCCAGAGATGTATGGGCATGGGGGTTGTCTTGTGAGGTGAGGGTGGCCATGTGTAGGCTCAGCTGTTGACTTGGGAAAAGGACAGTACCTTGTGTATGGCTCAGGGTCCACGCCACACAAGATGAGACCTTGGGATGGGCTGGGGCAAGAGTAAGGCGTTGCTAGATTTGGGAGAACAACACCCAACTTAGGCACTGCAGTAGCTGGAAGAACAGCATGGTGCCCAGTGCCCTCAGGTTGTGCAGGAATCCTACAGTTTCTGGTGCAGGACCCATAGGAAAAATAATACTTTGTTCCGAATTCTTCCCACTTGAACCAGAAAGGCCTTGAAAGAGGTCCTGCCAATAGTTCTTAGCACTATAGTCCGCCCAATGGTGCACACTTTGAATCTAGCACTTTGGAAGTAGAGACAAGAGAATCAGGAGTTCAAGGCTAACTTTAGCTATCTGAGACCCTGTATGAGGCTTAGAAATATAGCCCCCACCACATGCGCAGTGGAAAGCTGAATAGTAATGCCTTCTAGGATCAAAGAAGCCTAGGTTCGAATCTCAATTCTACCATTCCTAGCCATCATCCTGAATGAGGGAGCTGTTTCCCACGTGATTGAGCGATGGTTAATTTAAATTATGCATTTGAAGCCTTTGTCCCCACACATGCATACAGTAACTATATGATAAATGTTAGATGTCATCAACATCAATACAGCTTCCGTTAGATTCCCCAGAGTTAATATATGATATGCATGAAACAAACAGGTGCATGGAAGGGGAATAATAAAATATTTAGGATACATTTTTCACCCCCAGAAAAGTGAAAAGAAAAAAAAAGGAGAAAAGTCATCCACTCTGATAACTCTTTATTCAGCGGAAGTTAAGGAAAGACAGGTGCCTCTAAGCAGTGTGCCTCTCAGGGGATCCCGGTACAAAGCGACAGTTACAAGGACAGAGCAAGTCTGGAGGTCAGTGGCAAGACGTCTCTCAGGTCCATTCCCATCATCATTCACGGGCCATTTTTAACAGCATCATTATCTTCCAATAGTCACCCAGAAGGAACACAAATCCATTGATGCTGAATTATTTCAAGGAAAATCCAAGTCTAATGGCAAATCGATTACAGTTAAACATACACACCACCACCACCACCACCACCTCCGCACCATCAACATCTTCAAATCTACAAGTGTTGATTTGGAGGGTCTTACTTGACTACAGGCTCTGGTCCCCTTCTCCCTAGCAACTTCTGTGACTGGGCAATCAAAGCACCACAGTGAACAGTACAAGAGCTCACAACTGCCTCCTACTGTTAGGGCTGTGAAGGAAGTGACGTCCTTCAACCCACGTTACACTGATGGCTACCAAGGCTAATGATCGAGCCCGAGGAAGTCCTACAGTGCTGTGGTACTGGGTTCCTCTTATAGTTAGTGATACAGAATGAACTCTAAAGCCTCACAGCGGATGGAAGCAGATGCAGAGATCCACAACCAGGCACCAGGCTGAGCTCCAGGAATCCAATCAAAGAGAGGGAGGAGGGAATATATGAGCAAGGGAGGTCATGATCATGATGGAGGAATCTACAGAGACAGCTGAACCAAGCTCGTAGAAACTCAGGAACTCTAGACCAACAGCTGTGGAGCCTCCATGGGACTAAACTAGGCCCTCCATATATGGGAGACAGTGGTGAAGCTTGTTCTACCTATGAGGCCCCTGGCATCTATCCCTGGAGAATGAGCTAGCTTACTGGCGCCCATTCCCTATGGTGGGATGCCATGCTCAGTCATAATGCGGGGTAGGGGGGCTTGGCCGTACCCCAACTTAATGTGTCAGATTTTGTTGACTCCCCATGGGAGCCCTTACCCATTGGGAGGAGTGGATGGAGTTTGGGCTGGGGAAAGGTACGGGGGCAGGGGCGTGAAGGGGCAGGAGGAGGGCTGGGGGTGAACTGTGAATGGAATGTAAAATGAAATCAAAAAATAAAAATTAAAGGGCACTGTCCACCTCCACACAATAGTTTAAATAAGAAACTGTATGAAGAACCTGGTGCACAGAAAGTGCCCAAGTCACCATTAGCAGGGTGGTTACAGACTGACTTCATGTCCTACAGCTGATGAAGAGCAGCCCCCCAGGTTGGTGCCTCCTCTTGAATCCCCAGCTCCTGAGAGAAAAGCCCACTGTAAACAGTGTATGGCCTGGGTACATGAGATACTCACTATCTCAAGTTCTTGGGATATATACCCCATTGCTTGGAAAGGAAGGCAGGGCCACACTTATACAGAGTATTGTAAAATTCCCAGCTCAAGAACAACTAAGATGTCCCCAACAGCAACAAAGGAAGGACATTCAGGGTCTTTGATTGTCACTACCTGAGCTGTGGGACCATGGGTGAGCCTTGCCTATCCCTCTGAAAATGACAGGTTTCAAGGTTTAAGAGAGAGCGAGAAAAAAAAAACTGAATGGAGCAGGGTAGGCAGAGAAGCAGCTGGAAGGTCATGGCAAAGAAAGCCTCCGTGGTTACAAAAGGGAACGTTAACGCTCACCGCCTTGGCACTGGGAAGGCTGGCTCTGGCTGCCTCCAGCAAGGGCCGGGGGCCTCCTTTCAGCAGAGAAATCTCTCTGGTGGAAACACCCTGTTCTATCGGATGGCCCAATGGAGCAGAGTCCGGTTCTGGAGCAATCATTAGCCAGGATCCACCATCACCAAAAAGGCCACACTAGAGGCTGAGCCCTAAGCCCCAGGGACACTGGACTACTGGGTGTTCAGAGTGGTTTGGTCTATGGGAGTTGGCATTGCCATCTTGGCTAGGTTCTTTTTTAAAGCCAGGAAACTAATAATGGGAATTTCAGCCATTTTATGGGATACAAGAACTCAAACTCTGGACATCTTCTTTGCTGACCTCCTTGTGGGATGTTCAGGATAGTAAGAGGGATTCCTCTTTGCATCAAGCAACCTTAAAGTTCTGTGTGTTACCTGAGCCTTGGAGCTCCTCTTATCTTTAGATTCTACACTCCTGACACATCTCCAGATGCCTTGGTCCCAGGCTGACATTCTAGATACATGCGAGCAAGCATACAAATACACCTGCACACATGGACTGCTGCCTCCAGGGTAAGCTTTTCAGGGCTTCTCGGACAGTAGAAAAAAGAAAACCAGCTTAGTATGGCTGTACATACCTTTGATCCCAGCACTTGGAAGGAGGGGCATTTGAAGGATCTCTGTGAGTTTGAGGCCAGCCTGGTCTACATAGTGAAACCCTGTTGGGGAGGGGGGGAGACAAACCAGAGCTACTGCAAAGACGCCATACTGGGATTGGGGTTGTGCCTACCCTATGAAACGTCAAGCTTGTGCCGGCCACTGCCATGGTCCCATCATTCCCTGACACTATTGAGTTTGGGCTTATCTTCTGAGAGTGGGAAGCCTCCCTCCACCAAGAGCATTCTGATTCTTCCTTCCTTCAGGCGGTTCCTGTTTTTCTCACCAAGGGGATTGCCCGGTCTTCTCAAAATGGGTAGATCTCTCTGGAATCGCTGTACAGGTAATTCTCTCCGCTCAATGCCATTTGCAACTTTGTGTGTGGTGTGTGTGTGTGTGTGTGTATGCATGAGAATGTGTTTTCCTTGCGTAATACTCCTATTTCAGCACATGGCAAGACACAGGCTTCTGGAAGACGTCAAAGGCTGTAACAAGTGTGACCAGTATAGCCCATAGAGAGAAGCCATTTGCCAAGGCTCAGCAGGCCAATTCTACATTACTCCCTCGAGTGTGAGCTGTACCAGGCCCCAAAGATGGGGCTTCTCATCTAGAAATGACACCAGGGAGCAATACCCAGCTCTCCCAGATGTCAAGGCCAGGCTGTCTCCTCCGATATTCTCCTTTTGGCATCTATGGAAGCCAAAGGTCCTGTCACAAGAAACAACAGTATTCACTCAAAAGAGAGAAATGGACTCTCACGTTAGCACTCTGAAATGCCTAAAACAGACACGGTTTTCTGGACTGACCTTCAGTTACCAAAAGCCCTTCTGTTCCACTCCCCCTGGGCATCCTCCTGGTACAGTAAGGCTTTGCAGAAAGCAGCCTCCTCCTTGGCTCCCCCCTCCTCTGCAGATCCCTCTGAAAACATTCCCATTACTCCTTGCCCTAGATGAACCCCTTTACCTAGAACAGCAGAAGATTCCCACAGGATAAGGGCTAAAGAACCTAGGACTCCATCCTAAAATCTGGACTTGCTAATCATTGAAAACGAGTATCTTCATTCTCTCTCCCCACCCCTCTCTTCGGAGGATTCTTCAGATATACAGAGAAGGAACCCAGGCACCTGCTCCTGTGTCACCGCTTTGGATGGCAACTAAGAAGTCCCTCCACTTCTAGTCCCGCCACCCGGCCTCGGACCCCATGCCCAAGGGCCTGCCGTGATCCCGCTCCCTTCCTGTGACCCTCTCAGTGGCACCTCGAGGCTGCCAGCCTCTCCAGGCCTGCTGTGGCTTTCAGAAAACAGAGCGGGCCTATTTTTAGCCCTTCTCAGCCTAATAATACTCCCCGGCACCCATTCAGTTTAATCGCTTTATTGAGGACAAGAAGCGAGCTCTCTAGCCCGGGTGCTTCTGATGTTCGGAAGTAGTAAAATGTTCAAACTGGTTAAAAAACGACACTCATTGGCTTGCCTTTGGTGTTTCTGAAACCCTAATTGTGGTTCCAGCCACGGATCTAAGGAACCTTGTAGGTTGCAGAGTCTGGCTCCCTGACCCCCTGCACCATAATTGAGGTGTTACATTACAATCCCAGCACTGCCGGCTTCAGGCTCAAAATTCAGAAGGCTCAAGGCACCACACTTCTCAAAACAAAAATATGGCCTGTCACAATTAATGCCCATCTCCCCAACTGGGGGAAAAACATGACTGGCTGTTTCTGGTTCACTCTCTACAGAAGGTCCAGGGGGTGCAGGGGACGATGTCCAGGATGAAGCCCATCGTGTTATTAAAGTGCCCCTGACAAATAAAATGACATCGAATTGCTGCCTGAAAACAGAACGGTTTGTTTGGTGTAATTAGAGGACCTGCGAATTTGGTGTGCGCAGAAAATAGACTGTTGGCAGCACTTCCGCACGCACCTCCGAGACTGTGACTTCCAGAGCGTGAGGGTCATCATTTGCAAGCAGGCAAGTGGTACCACGTGAACTCCACGCCACAGAAGTGGTAGCCCGCGACGCTCAGACAAGCAGTCAGCGTGGCGTTATCCATAAAATGGACACAGTAAAACCGACTCAAAAGAGGTCTTACGCAAGTCTGAAGAACGCCCTCCCCTCTTTCCTTCTTTATTTGTTGTTGCTATTGTTGTTGTTAAGACTACAGTCTCGTTGCTAGGTAGTCCTGGCAAACCTGATACTCATTATGCCATCTAGGCTGTCCTCAAACTCTTGGTAATCCTCCTGTCTCAACGCTGAAGTGCTGGGATTATAAGCATATGCCACCTTGCCTGGACCCAACCCCCGCTTCTTTTCCTTCTTTCGCAAGGCACCTGAAGCACCTTCGTAAGACTCCTGCATTCTGAAAAGCAGAGGGAGAAATGCCTCATTAACTTCCCTAGCTAATTTTACAATTTAACCAAACACCAGATTTCTGCCTCCATTCAGCGCTGATGGTGACAAACTTGCAATTGCGGAGACGGTGGGAACGATTGCGTCCAGGCTGGAAACTGAAGGCAAGGGCTAGAAAACAACACCAGGAGATGGTTCACTCAGAAACTAAAATAAAACCCAGCTCTAAAGGGGGCCCCTGGAGCAGAATTCAAGGCTGGGCAGGGCTGAGAAGTGAAGGAAGAAAAGCCAGGTCAGCCATGTGGTGTCAGGAAGATGGAGCGCCTAAGTGACAATGACTCTTCCTGTCACCTTGCAGGGCAGGGGCTATATTGGGAAAGTCAAGTTACATGCTGTCCTCCTAGGGGCATGATTCAATGCTGATGGGTAGCAGGCCAAAGGCCAGCCAGGGCCACAGAGGACACGATTAACTTGGCCATGCCCTGGGGCTCCTTCCAAAACACACTCAAGGTCCAGTTGGCTACTGAGCCCAAGCCCTGAGGGAAACACCGCCCCCCATACGTCCTGATTATGATTTGGGCAGAGGTGGGGTTCAGTGGGGAAAGACACTGCGGTAGAGAATGTGTCACCATCAATAAGCCTACAGCTGAGAGTCCTCCAGGCATTGTTAAATGCCTAATTGGTCCTCGTCTTTTAGACTCACACCTTGCCCATCCACACTGGACAGATCTCCAGACAGACAGACAGACAGACAGACAGACAGACAGACAGACCGAGACGCTGAGTCTTCCTTAGCACCTGGGTCAGGCGCTGCTCTCCGTGCCTGTGGAAGACACCGCCCTGGGACTGTCCTTGTTCCTCCTGGGGCAACCCTGAAGCTTCCACCTGCTTCTCTGTATCCTCATTTCCACAACGTGTGATTCCAGACCCCAACGCTCAATCAAGACCAGACTAGCTCACAGCAGGGCTCTACCAGACACACTGAGCAGTCTCCATGGGAAAGACTTAGGCTGGGGAGGCAGTAATAACCCAGGACAACAGCTTGTCCCCCAAAGTCTCACCTCCAGGCTTTTGTCTGTCCTGGGCTCATTTGAGGAAAGCAAGCGAGGAAGACTCGGAGCGAATCAGAAGTTTCAGAGCATTCTCCTTTTACCTGGAGTTACCTTGTTACTGAAACGACGGTGGCCTTGCATAATTACGCCAGCAGAACTCAGTGCCAATGAGCTCTAGGTGCTCAATTAGCTTCTAATAGCCAGCCAGAGAGCTGTGAGGTTTAATCCGCCTACCCCAGAAGGCTTTTTATCCCAACTACCTAATGAAAAGTTTAGAACTTGGGATTTTTTTTCCTTTTTCTCTGGCAAGTGAAAGAATTCTGTTCCAAATGGACTTGGCTGGGGGAAAAGAGAAAGGAGTGTGCCAACCAGTGGGGGCCAGGAGAAGGGGGCTGAGCCTAGAAGAGGCATGTATGCCACACTGAATTCCAGACACAGCCATGTTCCTACAGCAGCCCTTGGCCCTGCCCTCAAGCCGAGGGATCCAGTCCACTCTTACCGAAGTACACACAGGGGCAGTTTGCCTTGTGATCTAAGGAGAGGGGCTGGGGTTTCGGGTGATGTTCATCTGGGATAAACCCTCAAAGCTGAGGTCCTCAGGGTGGCCCCGTTAGATTCAGTTCCCCCAAAGGCAATGCTCTAAACACGGCTTTCACGGGATGAGTCTTGTAGCACCCTCTCCCTTATTTCCCCATTGTCCTCTCTCGGTTTGCTTGAGGTTGCCCATAGGTTCTTGCACGCTGGAGAAGCACGCTTACCACTGAGCTACAGTTCTAACCCTCAGTCTTCCGATGGATCCCAAACTGGCCTGTAATTCTCAATCCTCCTGCTCCAGCCTCCCAAGTGCTGGGATGCCAGGCACCACCCACCCATACCATGCCTGACAGAAGTTTTCATTTTCCTTGGAGTGCTTCTCAACCTGCCAATCAAGAGGACCACAATACCCTCGGGTACCTGAGAATCCTCAGATGCAAGACACCAGGTCCTAAGCCTTTGATGGTCACTATGGACACCAGAGACAGAACCTGGTTTGTTCCAGCTCACAGACATTCTTTCTTCCTCTCACCTAGAAAAGACATGCCACTCAGCCTGAGCTCCTCCTGGACACAACAGCCAGGGGACCCACCCCCATTTAAACAACACATACCGTCTTCTGGACTACTTTCCTCAACCCCCCACCTCACCCAAGGGATAGTTTCATGACTCTAAACTCCCATAGCATCCACTTGTTGCCCTTGTGGGGACAGTAAAAACCCTTCCCTTTCCAGGCTCATGTTATCCCTTCAGCTAACTCACTAGCAAGAGTCGTGTAAGGGTAGTAGTACCAACTCTTGTCTGCCCTGCCTGGGTGGCACACCCCTGACCCTCAGTTCAGCTGCTAACCGCTGAGTTCAAATACAATGATGCTCTCCTCCCTCTAAAACAGAGCCACATGTGGGTGGGATCCAGCATAGCCACTCACATCTCTCTGCTTCTCCACCTTCACAGTCCGGTTCACACTAGGTGAAAATTCCCCTCCCCACTCCCATCCCAGAAGGCTCTGCTGTTCGACAGTGGGCAAAACTAGTCTCATATCACAGATACAGCTCCATTGGACAAGGGCTGAAAGGCCAGGGGGACCACAACCTTACAAAAGGTCACACTACAAGATGCTGGACGCCTATGGGGCTAGAAACACCCCACACGCTTCCTCCTCTAAGAGTTACAGAACAAGCAAGCTCTCCCTTTTACTCCTGGGCCCAGTGTGCCTTCCCCAGGAGAAGATAGGAGACCACAGTTAGCTGTCTCTCTCTGTCCTTCTTTCTGTGTGGCATAGTGATGGAGAGGAATGAAAGGCATGGCACTGCCGAGCTCTCCCTGAAGGTGAAGCTGAATACTGACCCATGATCCTCTAGGGATGCTCCCAGGACCATCTTGCTGCAGCCCTCCAAAAGCAATGCAGAAGAGCGACAGCCATATATGTATCAGGCAATCACTGAACACACGCTACCCTTGTGGCCCAGCAGGAAAGGTTAATAAACCACTCCTGTTCCTAGTTTCTGGCCCAGTGCAAGGCTCTGGAGCAGCATCCAATATGGCGTTTCCCGTCTCCGAGCCTCAGAAGAGGAGGCCTTCCTAGCCTTCACTTTCTTAGCTCACCTCCCCAACCTGTAAGGCATTAGTAGCTAAACAAACAGTGAATCGGGAATTGGGAGACTCGGCCGTGTGGAACCAGGGTCAGGCACAGGGAAAGATCTAGGTAGGAACCCAGCTCTGCCACCCCTTGGCTTTCTGATCTCAAACAGGCTAAGCCGCGGATACTTGAAGGCTCCGTGTCCCCATCTATAAACAGCAGCAGCGTGTCAAAGCTGTCAGCATGCCAGCAATGCACTATGCCTGGAACACAGCAGGCACACAGCAGATAAATGCCTTTCTCCCCGTCCGCATGCATTATCAGGCACCCAAAGCCATTCATTTATTCAGCAGACATCTGCTGATTGCCTACTATGTGCTAGGCCACTGACAAGGTCCCTGCTTCCCTCTCCAGGTCCAGACTGCTGGTCCCAGGGCTTGAGGCAGCACAGGAGAGCCTCCAGTCCGTTTCCTGCCTTACCCCCACCCATCCACACAAAAGGCGGTAGAGGTCTAACCACCATTCAGGTTCCTGTGCTAGGTAGTATGGGGAACACAGGGATACATGAATCCTATGTTCCCAAGAGCCTAGGACCTAGTGCGTGAAAGGGGACAACTGAATAAAACAACAACAACAACAAAAAACCAAAACAACAAAGCTCCGTAACAAGGAGGATGACAGGTTCCATAAGAGGGGACAGGCGAGGAGATGGCTGAGAGCAATCAGATGCAGGAGGCCTCCTGTGCAGTCCAGCCAGGTGCACCCCAGGGCTGAGCAGGCGGCGTTGAAAAAGATGGGGAGGAAGGGAGCAGTCTCTGGTCCTGGCGCCGTTCCTAGCACGGGAAACAGGCAGGATTTTATTTAGAAATGCCTAGAGACAGGTCAGAGACTTCTCTGACAATCCTGAAAACTTCCTGGACAGAGCCAGTCCCATGAAAACCCCAGTTGATGGGCATGTGGGGCGGGTGAACCGCTGAACGACTGCTCCTGTAGTAGAACAGCCTTGCCGTGGAAAAGGGAGGGTCTCCTCCTGAGGAGGGAGGGGCCGGGCGAAAGAGGAGGGGGTTGGTGGAAATATGGCTGAGGGGGAGGGCAAACCAGCACAGGGAATTTATTCATTGGAGTTGTTTTACTACCTAATTAATTCAGTCATTTCCAAAACAATTTTATTTATGTTCTGTTTACCACATCAAAAGTGTATGTGGGTGTGGGGGCGAATCTTAAAATGCTAAAATAATACCCCGAGGCATCTATTTTAATCAGTTTTAAAAAAAATTAAAAGGGGTAAGGGGAGAGTTGAAAAGAAAAAGGAACTATCTCTGTTTTTTTCTATACAGTCTCTCCCAGTCATGAGAGAGAAAAAGGGAAAGAGAGAGAGAAACAGCCAAGCCCTCTCTGAGAGCCTTCCTGGCTGCTGAAAACCGAGCTTGTCAAAAAAAACAAATCCATAATGGCCCGAGGCTCCTCTCCAATCTATTTTCTGCTCAGCTGGTTTTAAATGAAGTTATTATGAGTCATTAAAACACCCGCAAGCCAGTGGAAGTCAGCCAATTACAATTTTAAATTTAGCCTGTTCTCTGCCCCATTCTCTTGTTTTCTTCCTTTGCCCACAGAATGCTGCTGCTGTTATTTTTTTCCCCTCCCTTCCTTTACCCAAAGTGGAAGAGACAGTTATGAAAATGCATACTATTGCACACCATGCAGAACCATTCATGGGAAACCCAAATTATTAAATTTTAAAAAAATGCAAACTTCAACCCCTGTTCCCCCACCCCCCACCAAAGTCAACCTGGAGTCTCGTCCTCAGCCCTTGGCCTTAGCCTTTGGGGATTCCTCCAAGGAACTCTGCTCTGTTGGCCTGAAAGGTCAGAGGTTATTTTGAAAATGAAAAGGTTCTTCGCTGGGGTCTCCTTGAGAAACCCTCCTCCTATCCATCCGTCAATGGGTTCCTATAGGAACCCAAGGTGGGGGGTGCCACCAACATTCAAAAATTCACAACCAACAACGAAGCCAAAGGTAAAGCTGGATTTGCAGCCAGGCACGAATGTCGGTGGCAGTCACTAGATATCATGAGCTCATTTTGTTTTTAAATCTTCAAGGTAATGGCCTGTGTGGGCCCAGTATAGCAGAGGAACAATTCTGAGTATTTCAAGTAAGTACTTCGTCTCAAACGCCTTTTTATTCATACTTGTGCATACAGACACATGTGCATACGTTGTCTGATGAAAATACTGCCCCTTATTTTGGTTATCTCTGCAGACCCTCCAACCAGGAGCCACATTCTTAACCAAACATCTGTCCAAGCCTACCCACCCTTAGCCTGGACCTCTACAGGCACCCCCCCCCCCCATCATCTCTAGGTTCCCAGACACACAGACACTTGGCACACACTCGGCAAGAGGTCCTTAGCCAGATTTAGATTTTGCCCCCAAAGAATGAAATCCACTAATCTAGTCAGAAAGATCACCAGGGACAGGAATGGGGCTGAACACCACCCCATCCCATGGTTAGTTCAGTTAGTAGCTACCATGACTGTCTACCGGCCTGAAGGCTCAGGGCATGGTAGAACTCAGGACCTCCCTACCAACCAGCCGTACTGGCTGAGAACGGAGCATGAAATCCTAAGAAGTGTATGGGCTCCTGTGACTAGAGATGGTTTACAAAAACAAAAACAAAAAACAAACAAACAAAAACAAACAAACAACAAAAAAAAAAACAAGAGGAAGACTTGGTCCAAGCCCTGAGGACTAGAAACCTGGTTTCATCAGGTACAGTTACCCCACGCCCTGTAGGTTCTTAGATACCACTATCTGCTACCAGCTGAGCTATTGCATGGGAGTCGAGGGTTCAATCAGCTGCTCCTCATGCTGGATCTACAGAGGTCTGCCTA